CAGAGGAAGAAGCAGGGGACTAGGAGGGATGCCCGGCTCAGAATGGCCTCTCCCCGACGCCATTCTTTCCGGAGAAATCAAGGGGGAAAAATAATAGAGCTGCAGCGCCATTTTGAAGACTCGTATTTTTTTACTTTCCAACTTCAAATATAAAGTTAGCCGAGAGAAGACAAGATGGCGCATACGCAGGAGGGACGGTGAAAGGCGGAGGGATAAATCTTTTTTTTAGAACTGATAGCCTAAACAAAAGCGCAGAAGTCCTAACTGCGCAGGCGTACAACTCGGACACGCTTTAAAAATTCGAACGTCAAGGCGCGCACAAGACGCCGTCGGTGGACGAGAGCAATCTCGGGTTACCGAGGCAGGGATGGCGGTGGAAGGGGCGGTGATGCACCATCCCCGGGGAGAGGCTGCAGGTGAGCACGCATGCGCAGCGTGGGTAATGGCGGGGCGACCCAGCCTGGCGGAAGCTAGCGTTCCAACATGGCGGGCGAGGCGGACGGACCGTTCAAACGGGTGCTGGTGCCGGTTCTTTTACCTGAGAAATGCTATGATCAACTTTTCGTCCAATGGGACTTGCTTCATGGTGAGTTTTATTCAGCCTTTAAAGCCTAGTTCGAGCAACCCCCGGCCGTGAGTTGGTGTGAGCAGTACCGGAGTTGGTCACGCGAAGCTGCGCCGGAAGGCGCTTCTGAAGAGGGCGGAAGTGTTCTGGCCCCTGCCTAGGGAAGGTGCCATATTTGGGCATGAGGGGGAGTCGCCCGAAAATAGTTAAAATGTGTGTTTTACCGTCTGGAAAGTACGTAACCCCCACCTCCCTTTTTTTTTTTTTTTTTTTATTTTTTTTCGAGACAGGGTTTCTCTGTGGCTTTGGAGCCTGTCCTGGAACTAGCTCTGTAGACCAGGCTGGTCTCGAACTCACAGAGATCCGCCTGCCTCTGCCTCCCGAGTGCTGGGATTAAAGGTATGCGCCACCACCGCCCGGCCCCCCACCTCCCTTTCTGGGCTGTGGAATTCAGGGCCTCGGACGTGCAAGGCAACCACTCTGCCCACCGAGCTCTATCCCCAGCCTGGAGAACTCATGTTTTATAAAATAAAATTAAAATCCCAGCCGGGCGAATAGAGCTACTCCTTCCATCCCAACACTGAACGCAGACAGACAGACCCCCCCCCCCCCTTTGTGATGCATTCTCAGCCAGCGCTGACTGAACTTACTATGTAGCACAGGCTGCCCTTCCTTGGCCACCAGAGTGCTGGGAATATAGGGATGAGCTATCTCATCCCGTTACCTTCCTTTCCCTTTCTTAACAAGGCAAGGCCATGGCCAGGGGTTCCACCAGCTGTGGGAGCCATTGGTAAGGCCCTCCATCTTTCCGCTCTGCTCAGCTCACAGATTCAGAGGCACTGTTCTAGTGCCGTTTGGCTTGCAATAGTCAGACTCCTGCTGGGCCAGGATTCAATGCTAGGGAAACTGCCAGGAGCACTGGCCCTCCCTTACTTTTAATCTCAGCAGAGGCAGGAAGGTCTCTGAGTTCAAGGACAGCCTGGTCTACAAGGTGAGTTCCAAGACTATAGTTTCTACACAGAGAAACCTTGTCTTGAGAAACCAAAATAAATAAATGATAAATACTAGATGATAAAAAGCAAGCCCTGGAAGAGCAGGCTTGGCCACTGAATAAGGAACAACCAGAAGATTCAGGAATGTATGCTGTAAAGATTGGCCTTTGGAAGGAGACCATTTGGAGAGAAAGGAAAGGGTCAGGAAACTCTTGAGCAATACCTGTGTAACTGAAAAGCAATGGCGGTCATGCCTGGGCAGCTACATGTTCCTGTGGAACTGGTGAAATGGCTGCGAGGCTGGTGACCTGCAGAAAGGCAGAACAGGAGAGCTGGCTCCAGAGTTGTCACCTGAGCATCACACACACCTTTTGTGCCCACACACAGTGTCTATAGATACAGACACCACGAGACACAAGCGATCACTGGAACTGGAGTTAGAGACAGTTGTAAGCTTGGGAGTCCCAGCATGGGAGCAGGGACTCCGACCCCTGAAGGAGAGTAGTAGGTACTCTTAACTACTAAGCCAGCCCTTTAGCCCATATTTAAAATCCACCTTTGTTGTGTGCATCGACTTCTGCACACCCAGGTCATCAGACTTAGCAACAGAGCCATCTTACTGGCTCAGTATTTTTTTATTTTGTTCTATGTGCATTGGTGTTTTGCCTGTGTGTATGTGTGTGAGGGTGCCGGATCTTCTGGAATTGGAGTTTGGCAGCTGTGAACTCCATGTGGGTACTGAGAATTGAACCTGGGTCCTCTGGAAGAGCAGCCAGTGCTTTTAACAACTGAGCCATCTCTCCAGCCTTATTTTTTTGAGAAGGTTCCTACAGAGCCTTGACTGTCCTAGAACTCACTATGTATGTTGTAGCTTCGAACTCATAGAGATCTCTCCGAGATTAAAGGCGTGTGCCACCACACCTGGCAATAGTATTTAAAGACAGGGTCTCTGAATCTTAAATTCAGAGATTAAATGAGATTACAGGCGTGCACCGCAACAAACTGTCCTAATGATTTTTTTTATTTATTATGTATACAGTGTTTTGCCTGCATGTATGCCTGCAGGCCAGGAGAAGGCACCAGATCTCATTGTAGTTGTAAGCAATCACGTGGATCCTGAATTGAACTCAGGTCATTAATTATCCGATGAGTCTGTAGGAAATAGAAGGTTGGGCAGGGGAAAGGCGTCCAGGTAGAAGCTGCTTTGGCAGCATACCTAGTCTGGATGTAAGATGTTTGCAGCAGGAAGGCTCCCTGCCCCATCATTTCCCCTGTCCCCCAAAAGGAGACTTACTGCTGTGGTGGCCATGCCAAGGGTGAGGGGAGAGGGAACAGCTTACGAGGGCACTTCAAACCCTCACCTGGGTTCCAGAGACCTGTTTGCTTACTTCCTTCTCTCTTCCCAGTTCCCTGCCTCAAGATTCTCCTCAGCAAAGGCCTTGGGCTGGGCATAGTGGCTGGGTCACTCCTGGGTATGTATATATAGTTCCTTCCTTCTGTTCAGTAAAGGTGGGGTGATGAGAGGCTAATGCCACGGGCTCGGGATAGTATGCTTCTTCCCCAGCCATGCCCTTCTTTCTCCCAGTAAAGCTGCCCCAGATCTTTAAAATCTTGGGAGCCAAGAGTGCCGAAGGACTGAGTCTCCAGTCAGTGATGCTGGAGCTCACGGCGTTGACTGGAACTGTGGTCTACAGCATCACCAACAACTTCCCCTTCAGGTGAGGGGCCCACTCCTCACTCCCAAGGCCTAGTTGTTATTTATTTACTGGGGAGCAGGGAGTGCTCAGAGACAACTTGTAGGAGCTGGTTCTCTTCTTCCAGTGTGGATCCCGGGGCTGGAACTCAGGCAAATACCTTTGCCTGCTGAGCTCTTCTCCAGCCCTAGCGCCCCCACAGCTCTAGTAAGGGCTACAGCCCTCGCAGAAGTGTAGTCAGTGAGCTAGGTCTGGGGCAGGCGGGGGCGGGGGGGGGGGAAGCACAGGCCTGGTGGATGGCTATGGAGGCTTTCCCCGCCTCTTTCCAGGCCTGCCTTTTCCCTCCCAACTCTTGACTCTACAGCTCTTGGGGTGAAGCACTGTTCCTGACACTCCAGACAATTGCCATCTGCTTCCTGGTCATGCACTACAGAGGAGAGACCGTCAAAGGTGCCAGGGAATTGCTGGAGAGCAGGCATGGATCTTGGGGATCTTGTTGGGGACTCAGGAGGTTCAAGAGGGCTCCTTGTCTCCCTGACCTTTAGGCATTGCTTTCCTTGCCTGTTATGCGATGCTCCTGCTGGCGCTGCTCTCCCCACTCACGCCTCTGGCTGTAGTGACCCTGCTCCAGGCCTCCAATGTGCCTGCTGTGGTGGTGGGGAAGGTGGGTACTCCGAGTGAAAGGATGTGTGTGCTGTGTGGTGGAGGCAGAACGGAACCTCAAAGGGTGGACTGTTAGTCTGGGGGAAATGAGGGCATTAGTTCAGGTGACAGAAGCCAAAGTATGAATTTCTCTAGTTGCTCCAGGCAGCCACCAACTACCATAATGGGCACACGGGCCAGCTTTCCGCTATCACAGTGTTTATGCTGTTTGGGGGCTCTTTGGCCCGAATCTTCACTTCTGTTCAGGTGAGTGCATCTTCTGTCCTCTAGAGGGCACTAAAACCTCATGCGCCCAGCTGAGTAGTAAGCTGCTCCTCTGGAACCTTTCTAGATCTGTTGTCTCTCCTAAACAGGAAACTGGAGACCCCCTCATGGCTGGAGTCTTTGTGGTCTCTTCCCTCTGCAATGGCCTCATTGCTGCCCAGGTCCTCTTCTACTGGAATGCAAAGCCTCCCCACAAACAGAAAAAGGAGCAGTAGTGCTGGGGCAGCTTCTAGAACCATTCCATTCCATCCGGCCACTACCTTCATTCAGGTCCCTCCACAGGACCTGGTCTGCTGGTACAACTTAATCATCCTCCATTCCACTGTAACTGCAGCCTCCTGAGCCAGGGTTCGTGTAAACAGCACATACTCGTTTCAGCAGGGGCTGAGGCTGCCTTTCTAAGCAGCTGTCTTCTTATTGGAGCAGTGTCATGCCTTGTCCACTTACCTTCCTTCTGGGCAGAGGACAGAGCCTGGACAAACGTGGTTGGGAGATTGTGGCTGCTTCCCTCTGCCACCTGGCTGGGATAATCTATTGGACCCCAGTTCTGGAGGTGGGGGAGGGGAGAATGACTCAGATAAGGGCCTCGGGGTGGGGTGGGGAGGCTCCTGCTGCGGCAGGTCCAGACGGAAGGGAAGGGTGTGGAGAAGACATGGGCTGCTGCTGTAATGAGACAATAAAGACTCAGAGACGGCTTTCATTGTACAAAGTCGCGTTTAGTGTAGGTTTGTGCATTCTGCTTCCTTGGGAGACTTGTAGGCCTCTGAACTGGAAAGGGATGGGTCTGTGGGGTTGGCCCTGGATGTCTCTGCCAGTTAAAGGTGGGTTACAGACATGGGGCACCAGCAAGGGAAGTACTGTATGGAGTGGTAGAGCCCGGGGATAAGTAGGTGGGAAAAGAGGGCATTAGCTCCCCCTGGAGCCTAGGATCACTCTGAGGAAGGGAGCACGACGAGGGGGCCTCCGGTCTACAATGGGAAGAGCTGTAGAGAGAAACATGGGGTTTGGAGGTTACACTTCTGGGTTGGAGAGACTGGGCAGTGTCCCTAACTCAGTAGGAGACTGGTCTGACCAGTTTGCAGTAGACCGGGTTAGAATTTGCTATTCAGCCAGCCATGCTGGGTACAGCAGGCATGGAACAAGACCCTAGGATGGCTTAAAGAGCAAGGTAGCTCTGTTGGGGCACGCTCAGGAGCTGTCTTGCGTGCTGCACGCTGTTCGCCTCTTGGGGCAGCAGGCCAGGAAGGAGCAACAGGATGGGCTTGGCCTCTCCTTGCCCCGGGGGCTGGGAGAGGAAGCCGGGTCACACAAGGGCCATCAACAGTGGAGAAATGGAGTTAAGAAAGTAGAATACATTATCCTGAGATGGACAAGCCTCTGTCCTGAATTCTCTGAGCTCTCCCACCCAACTGCCTGGTGTGGCTTCTGCTAGGATGGACTGGCGTTCTCCCAACTTAGCCCTCTGGCTTTCATCCCCACCCAGCCTTCAGGAAGGAGAAGTGCAGAGTGGTGGTGGGGGACAACCAGGCACTCACGTGTAACTGCCGGGCAGGTAGGCTGACGAATAGTTGGGAGGCTGGTACCCAAAGCCTCTGCTCCCTTGCGTAGTTGTGTACCCGGGCCCCCAGTGCGGACCACCACAGGCCAGGCCGCCTCCTCCCTGGCTGAAGTGGACAGACCCGGTGCCCGAGTTCTTGCTCTTGCGCCGAGGCCTGTACTTGTAGTCGGGGTAGTCGCGGAGGTGACGGGCTCGTAGCCGCTTGGCCTCCTCCACGAAGGGACGCTTCTCTTCGTCATCCAGCAGCTTCCAATGCGCGCCCAGGCGCTTCGAGATCTCAGAGTTGTGCATCTTGGGGTTCTGCTGCGCCATCTGGCGGCGCTGAACAGAGCTCCACACCATGAAGGCGTTCATGGGCCGCTTCACCTTCTCCAGCGGAAGACCCCCAGACGCTCCAGGGCTCCCGGCACCCTCCTGCTCCTGAGGTCGCAAGGACAAAGAGGCTGTGGGGACCGGAGGCTCCAAGCCCCAAGTCTGGGCTTGTGAGGAGCCGGGCAACGCCATGGGTTGAAAGTAAAGCGTCTTTGAGAGGGCGTCTTGAATGCCCTCCTCCCAGAGTGAAGTCTGGGTACTTAAGTATCTTCCAGAGTCCTTGACTCGAACCTTTGTTCCCAGGAGTGAATTCGTCACCTCTGGAAGGCGGAACGCTGAATCCTTGAATCCTAGTCTGTCGCCAGTGTCCTGAAGAGGTTGTGCTCCCTCAAGTCTAGCTACTGCCAGTCCCGCTCCCTACCCTCTGCTGGGGCGGGACGGAGTCTTCCGTGGAGGCTGCAACTCGGTGAGGTTCTTGGTTTCCAAGGCTCCCACAGCTGCCGGGAGCGAACCCAGGTGCCACACAACTTCCCCACCTGTGCTCAGCCTTGGTGGAAGGTTCTTAAAGCCCGACTCCTCCCCCAATCCCTCCCAGAGGCTGTGCTGTCCCGACACAAACTCAGGTGTCCTGTTCTCCACAGCCCAGACACCTCCCCTGGGGCACCACGCCCCCTCTCCACCCAAGGTCTGGATGTCAGGCTTAACGGCCCCAATGGCTAAATTGTCAACTTTTTACCAGCAATTTAAAGCAAATTCCTTTCCTTGGTGGGATCAAGCTTGAGCATCAGATGTCCCCAGGGTCACTCCCTACTCAATACTTTTTCCGGTGCCTGTTGATCCTCAAATCCTGAACTGCCCCAGGGGTAAGAAACTCAAAGATGGGCTATGGCCATTTTTGTTTTCTGAGTCATCCCAGCAGGTGCCTGGGCAGATGAGAACACTCAAGCACTTGCAGCCAAAGGACTCTGCACCAGAGATACTTTTTTTTGGTTGTTTTGTTTTTAAGACAGGGTTTCTCTGTGTAACAGTTCTAGCTGTGTACTGGAACTTGCTTTGTAGACCAGGCTGACCTCAAACTCAAGAGATTCGTCTGCCTCTGCCTCTTGAGTGCTAGGAATAAAGGTTTGTACCACCACTCCCAGGTCCTCTGAACTATCTTTACTGCCCTGATATATACTTTTTTCAATGTCATTATTTGAGACAAGGACTGCACCATACAGCTCTGGTGTTGCATGCCTTTACTCTCAGTACTTGGGAGGCAGAGACAGGCAGATAGATGCCCGATCCACGAAGCGAGTTCCAGGACAACCAGGGCTACACAGAGAAACTCTGTCCTGAAAAACAAACAGGATGTATCAGGTACTTACAAGGCAGATGGATCTCTGGCTCCCAAGTACTGAGAGTAAAGGTGTATAACACCATCACCTGGACATATTTATTATATATACAGTGTTCTGCCTGCGTGTATCCCTTCAGGCCAGAAGGTGGCACAAGATCTCATTATGGAAGATTGTGAGCCACCATGTGGTTGCTGGGAATTGAACTCAGGTCCTCTGGAAGAGCAAGCATCCAGAGTTCTTAACCTCTGAGCCATTTCTCCAACCCCTGGTAAATATTTAAGGATCTAAGTTCACTACATTTTAAGGTCATGGCTTCTCTGTCAAGACATTCAGGGCCGCCCTCTTTAGGATCACCTTCAGCCCTCAGTGTACTGTCCAACATAGGTCTGGAGTCTTCCAACTCTATAATCATACCTCTTCTCCCTGGAGACCCCAAAAGCTAAGGTCAAGGATGTGGATTCTGGAGTCAGAGCAACACCAGGCCAGAAATACGTGCTGACCCTCCTGTGTTCCAGAGGCCATGCTAAGAGAACCCTATTTTCACCTCTGATGAAAGCCCAGCCTGTGCCCGGGGCCCCAGATAATCCGATTAAATAGCCTGCCCAGACTCTCAGCTCCTAGCAGGAACAGATCCAGCTTCAAGCAGTCTTGCCTAGCCTCCTGTGACTCAGGGTTTAGGAGTGGCCCAACTCTATCAAGCAACCAAGGGGAGGGAGGAAACAGCAAGGCCTGAAGCACAAACCTCTGGACCAGAAGAATAACTGGGTATGGAGAATTAAGTATGCAGCAATTTCCAGAATATCATCTTTCTGACATAGGATGAAAAGCTAAGAATAAGAAATAGAGAACAAGAGCAAGCAAGAGACCAGTGCAGGTCAGTCCTAGAGATCCAAACAGACCAGACTGGGTACAAAGAAGGCATGGGAACCACAAGGCCATTGGATTTTTTTATTCTCTTTTTAAATACTGTACAGTGAAAAATAAATACGCCTTCTCATCCACCAGACAAGGTTATCCCCCCAACTCCCTAGGGGACCTTGTCACCCCCCTTCATACACACCCCTGGTTCTACTCCAAAACCTTCCCCATGCCTCCCACCCACAAATACCCTCACTATCCCCGTCTTCCACAGTGATGAGGCCCCAGAAATGGGGGGTACAGGATGGGAGGAGGGATAGCAGGGAAGCCCCCCTGAACTGTCAAATCTGGGTGGGTCATGGAGCACCCCCACCAACAGGCGGAGAATGGGGGTGTTCAGAGGTCGGGGCATTAGAGGATAAAGGCACATCCAGTCTGATAGGGAAGGGGAGGCTCCCCTCACCCTGGGGGTAGGTTGGACAAGAGGGAGGGGGTATGACCCTGTTACACACCCCTCCACTAGCTCCTGGAGGTTGGGGGGGACCCAAGCTGCTGTGCCACCCCCCACCCCCGTAGATAAGAGCAGCTCCAGCGCAGGTCAGTTGGACCCATGAGGGCCATGGTGGTGGGCAGCAAGCGAGATGGAGAAAGGAGGGATGTGGACTGGAGGTTTTATGAAACCCCATTCACCAAACTACCCAACTCCAAGGGGGCAGAGAGCTCCCCATTCTCCGAGGGGCCCTTGGGAAGCTTGCTGACAGAGTCACCCTGAGGAGGAAGCAGGAGAAGGAAAAGAATGCAGTTCATCAGTACACCAGGTGTGGGCACTCCTTCTCACTACTGATACACCTGTGCTCTAGTCACTGCGAGCCTTGTCTTCTGTTCGTGCCAGCTCTGCTCTATCCTCAGCTTAACCTGAACTCTACCAGATACAGCTAATTCAACATCTCAGATATTTCCTAGGAAAGTTTTCTGTGTCCCTGCCCCGAATCAAAAGAACAGGGTAAGCTGTATCATGACTGCCTACCTTCTGTCCTGAAAGAGATTCCTCTGAGGGTTTCGTACGTTCCAGAGGTGGCCGCTGGCGGCTCTGAGACTCTGCCCGTGAGATATAGTCTGCCACAGTCACTAGGAAAGGCAGAGAGGATCGAGACTTTCAGGAACACAGGTATCCATCTCCATGGTTCTCACTGAACCCAACCCTGGTTTTCCTAGAGCAGGAGGCATCCCATTCTTAGTTCCTGAAAGGCTCCAATCCCACAGTGTCAGCTGACCTGGTTGACGGTCTCCGCTGATAGACCCATCAGTTCGATTACCACGATTGCGGCGGCGGCGGCTCCGATTACGTCGCTGGGGTCTCGATTCATCTTCTGTGTAGTAAAGAAAAGTCATACACCCATCCTCTTCATTCTTTCTCACACCACCTATAAGAACCCAGGCTCGCCCCTCACCCAGGCCATTCTCTGTCATGTTAGGACCATCAGACTCTAGGCCTCCATCCATGACAGTCCTGTCTTCATCAGTACGACGGCGGCGGGAACGACGACGACGGGCACTTGCTGGAGGGGGTTCACCAGGTTCTGAATCAACTGGGGGCTCTGGTTCAGATGTGTCCAATAGGCTGTAAGGATTACTGTCTGGATCCTTTAGCACTGATGATGACAGGACAGAAAGGGACTGGGAGTTAGGTGACCACTATTTTCTCCTTTGGGCCCACAAACATGACACCCTCCCCAGCTCTCTGATACCTGAGCTAATAGATGACGAATTGTATCTTGAGGTAGGCCGGGGAACAGGTGGGGGTCCCCTTCCCCGGCCCCCAATTGGCCGCCTCCGGCTTTCTTCTCCACGGCTTGGGGGCTCTCGGTCACCAGGTCCCGCTCGATTAGGCTCCTCTCTCTTTTCTGACTCTGTCTCAGAAGCTGTGGATGGGTCTGAGCTGGGGCCTGAAGGGCACAGACAGGTTTAATCAGATCCACTGGTCTTGCCCTGGGAGTTTCACTACCTCTTCTAAACTAGAATTCTTCCTATCACTCATAAGTACTCAAGTCACTGCTTTCCCTGAGTCTCCACCCAAACATCCACCTCCTCCACTGTCCCCACAGTTGTCTCACCATAGGCAGGACCACCAGTCCTCCGGCCCCGGCCCCGGCCCCCATAGCTGCCCCCATATGTTCGGGTCGTGTGCAGGGAAGAGGAGGAGCTCTCATCTGTGGTATAGCCAGCCTTGTCACTGCCACCACCGCCACCCCGTCCACTCCCAGGAGGGCGAAAGCCCAGTCCAATCTGCCGAAGTTGTTCATCAATCTGCAGTCTCTCTAAGCGAAGCTGTTCAACCTCCTGGTTGGAAAGAAAACAGATAACACAGGAGAATTAAAATGAGTGGACAGTCCACTTCCTTCATGCTTTTCTCTCCATATGGTCCCTGTGTAACTAAGCATTTGGGACTACAAGAAGGAAGACAAAACATTAGAGAATAGGATACAGCCCCAGAGCCAAAATATGAACTAACGGTCCTGTTCTGCAAAAGGCAAAGCATGTAGGACAGCTCCAAAGATTATATACTAGCAGTCCTTGCCCCCTCTTCACCCCAGTTTGTATGACATGGCTTTTGACATGGGTACCTGCAGGTAGGAGAGGTGGTACTCTAGCAGTGCCTGGGCATTGCTGATATTCTCTCGGGTTCCAACAAATATGAAGGGAACCATTCCCTAGAGAACAGACCAGAACAAAGATTAGAAGTCAGTTAGGTATGATGGCACACATAATCCTTAGCACTCAGGAGACAGGGGCAGCAGGAATTCAAAGTCATCCTCAGTTACACAGTAAAGTTAATTAAGTTCAAACACAACCTAAACTACACGAGGCTCTGTTTCAACAACCCCAGTCCCCAAAGGTGCCAGGCATGGTGGTACAGGTCTTTAGTCCCAACACTAGGGAGGCAGAGGCAGGCAGATCTCTGTGAACTGAGTTTAAGGCCAGCCTGGTTCACAAAAGTAAGTTCCAGGCCAGCTAGGGCTAAATAAAAGGAAAAAGAAGGTCTGGAGAGATGGCGCAGCGGTTAAGAGCACTAGCTGTTCTTCCAAAGGTCCTGAGTTCAATTCCCAGCAACCACTTGGTGGCTCACAACCATCTGTAATGAGATCTGGTGCCCTCTTCTGCAGGCATACCTGCAGGCAGAACACTGTATAGATAATAAATAAATAAAAAACAAAGAAAATCAGAAAAGATTAAAATGTTAGAAGAAAAAAGAAAATCAGAAAGGAAAAGATTAAAATGTTAAGCCCACTCCTCAAATAGACAACAGGACCACAGTCTACGTCTAGAAGTCCCCAGGTCCCATACCTCTTCCCTGGGATTCTTCTTGTCGTTGTCACCTTCCACACGCACCCTCACCACACCAGACTTGTCCACGATCTCCTGGATCACTTTCCCATTCTTTCCAATCACTTTGCCTAAATAGATAAAGGAGGAATTAGGCTTTTATTTTTTGTTGTTATTGTTAAGGAAATACAAGTCAAAGTCTTCTTCTTCTATAGTCCCTTCTCATTATATATATATTGCATGTAATTCATCTTCCTGCTTCTAGGAATCTCATAACCCTTCCAGGGATAAAAAAATGCTACAATCCCTAAAACTACATCATTGCCTTTTCTCATTCTTATGTCAGACTCTTTATCCCATAAGGAATTACAAAATTGTCTTCAAGCCCTTGCCACCTGGGCCCTAACTATTCCTTTTTATATGCACACCCAAACTCACCAACCAGGTTCCTGGGCACTTGTACAGAGTCCTCAGAAAATTCCAGGTAGCTTCGAGCTTGTCGGCATGCCTCAGGTGTCTATAGAAAAGGCAAACTAAAATAGAGCCTGGATCTCTGCCATTTTCTGACCAAAGCCAGGCAGAGAGGGTGCCATAGATTTGCTTTCCACCTTATCTCTATCCCCTCAGTCACCCAAAGGACCCAAAAGAGCAATCTTTGGCTGACCTCCCCATAGATGCGGAAAGTGCAGGTCTCTTCACCCAACTCAATGGCAGTCACTCCTGGCACTTTTCGGGCCTGCTGGATGTTGGCACCATGTGTCCCAATTGCCAGACCCATCAGGTCCTCTCTCACTGTAAACTCCTCTTGGAACGCTGCTGCCAACTGCTTACTTGTCTAAAAGGAAAAGGCACTGTGAGATCATGGTGCGGAATCTCAGAATATGTGTCCCAGGTGGCTAATCCTCTGTACTGCTTTTTTTTGGGGGGAGGGGGGTGTCTTTCTTTCTTTCTTTCTTTTTTTTTTTTTGTTTTTTTGTTTTTTTGAGACACAGCTTCTCTGTAGCTTTGGTGCCTGTCCTGGAATTCACTCTTGTAGACCAGGCTGGCCTCAAACTCAGAGATCCACCTGCCTCTGCCTCCTAAGTGCTGGGACTAAAGGTGTGTGCCACCACTGCCCAGTGGGGTGTTTCCTTTTTTCTTTTCTTTTTATCCCCTTTGGTTCTTCAAGAGCAGGTTTCTCTGTAGCTTTGGAGACCAATAGGCCTCAAACTCACAGAGATCCACCTGTGTCTGCCTCCCAAGTGCTGGGATTAAAGGTGTGTACTACTACCTCCCTGGTTTCTTTGTATTGTTTAAATAAGGGGAAAAAAGGCATGAAGAAAACCAGAACCATCTGTGATCTGCTAGGCACTGAACCCTGCACAGAAATCTCAGACACCTTTAAATACGAAGGCTTACGGGCAGTTATTAACTAATGAGGGCAGTTTGAGCTAGAAACCACCAAAGTTCTAGATTTGGTTCTAACACTAACTGGTTGAATGGTTCTTAATAAGACACACACTCTGTTCTACCATCTGACAGTCCCTACAGCTGGTCTACTCACTCTGACGTTAGTAAAAATAGTACTCCTCTTTTGAGCCCTTCTCACTCTCAGTTGTTCTCATTTTCATTAATAAAGCAATGT